TGCTACACTGAGACAAAGGCAGATACTGCTCCTTCATTATTGATCTAATTAGAGCTGCCCTGCACCCAGCAGGAGTTTATCAGGATCAGAGCCTGTCTCAGGTTGAAAGGTGCAGCTGTGGGTGTGTGTTCTGTCCCCATCTGTCAGAGCTGGGGCAGTTCTCTGCTGTCCATGGGGCAGTTTTTCCTTTATCTCTCCCCCAGCCAATCCTCCCTGCAGGAGATCTCTGCTGTCCATGGCCACTGAGTGTCCCTGCAGGGCTGATCCAATTCCAGCATCCCATGGGGAGATGCTGCATTGCCCAGGGCAGGAGCCAAGCATTCCTACCTGGATCCAATGTGAGCCTGGCACAGCACAGCAGCCTTTGCCCAGTGCATTGCCAGAGGAGCAGCTTCTGCTGCCCTGCATTGCCAGAGGGAGCCCAGGCCCATCTCCAGCAGCCCTGGAGCTGCAGAGGAAAACTCCCCCCTTGTGCAGGATCCCTGCTCCAGCAGAGCCACAGCTGGCACTGCAGGAGGGCTGAGCCCCCATTGGATGGGGCTGTGCCACCACCCTGACACACAGGGGGACAGGGCATGGTCTGACCCTGTCACTGTTGGTTTTTTATTTGTACCATTGCATTTATATTTTTAATTTTTCTAGTAGAGAACTGCTATTCTTATTCCCATATCTTTGCCTGAGAACCTCTTAAATTCAAAATCATAATAATTCAGAGGGAGGGGGTTTACATTTTCCATTTCAAGGGAGGATCCTGCCTTCCTTAGCAGACACCCGTCTGTTCAAACTGAGACAGAGCCTCCCAACAAACCCTCAACTCAAACCCCACGACCTGGCTGAGGTGTAACTCCTCACACCATGCACTCAGACCAGGCAGGACCTGCCCCATCTCTGACCCCCCTAAATCCCAAGCTGCATTCCTCCCTCCCAGCCCCTCCTGGCACCTCGTGGGTCTGGTCTCTGCCCTTCTTCAGCCGGATGTGGGCCAGGCGGTTCAGCTTCTTCAGGGTCATGAAGTGCACACAGCTCTGCACGCGCCGCTCGTCGATCTCCGAGGCCTGAGGGGCAGGAGAGAGGGGGTGGAAGCAGGAGGGATGGCTGGCACCACCTCTGCAGGGAGCTCCTGCCACAAAAGGGGCTCCACGCTTTGCTATGGAGCCACATTTATGTCCCTGGGGCTTCTGAGGGAGCCTCCTGCTGCCAGACCAGAGGGCTCTGCTGGGAGTAACTGAGAGGGGGTCCAGGCTCCTCAAAGAATCACTGCAGCCATTGTCCTCAGGGGCAGGAACAGAGGTGGCTCAGCCTGAGGCACCTGATGTGTCCCAGCAGCCTGGGACAAGGGAGGCTATTCTATTTCCAGAGCTCAATTCCTGCCCCTGGAGCCCAAGACAAGGGAAACTGTTCCATTTCCAGGGACTCAATTCCTGCCCCAGCAGCCTAGGAAAGGGAGGTTATTCAATTTTCAGAGCTACATCCCTGCCCCTGGAGCCCAATACAAGGGAAACTGTTCCATTTCCAGAGGCTCAATTCCTGCCTCGGCAGCCTTGGACAAGGAAGGCTGCTCCATTTCCAGGGGCTCAATTCCTGCCCCAGCAGCCTGGCAAAGGGTTCTGGCAAAGGGAGGTTGTTCCATTTCCAGAGCTAAATCTTTGCCTCAGGAGCCCAAGACAAGGGAAGTTGTTCCATTTCCAGAGCTCAATTCCTGCCCCAGCAGCCTGGGAAAGGGAGGCTGCTCCATTTCCCTGTGATGTCCAAGGCATCACAGCTCCTGCTGCTTTTCCCCTGGGATTAATGGGGAAACACCAAAGACAGACATGTTACACCACACGTGGAGGCCTCTCCTCACATTTTCCTTGATGCCCCGGCTCTTCAGCTCCTGGATCTCTGCCATGAGCCTCTGGAGCTCCTGGCAGGTCTCTCTGTAAAGCTCGTAGTCCTTGATGGGGTCCCGCAGATCCACCTCGCTCTCCTCGCTGTAGTACCTGGCATCCTGCCAAGGCAAGAACACCTCCTGTGGCTCATCCCTCCCTCTGGAAAGGGCTCTGGGGGATGAGCTGCCACTTGTGCCCATGAATCCCATGGCTTTACACAGGGAGAGGACTTAGTTCCAACAATCCCAAACCCACCAGTCACTAAAACACCTGGCAAGGTCAGGCTGTCTTTAACTGTTATAAATTTGAACTGACACCATCGGGGTGTCTGTGCAGGGCCAGGAGTTGGACTGGAGGATCCTTGTGGATCCCTTCCAACTCAGGATATTCCATGATCTCCATGACCACAGAGGACAATCCAGAAAGGTGATTCCTCCTCCTCTTCCACCCCGCTCCCCACTCTGGCTGATCCTACACTATCCTGCTGCTCACGGGAGGGTTTGAAGGCACCATGCAAATCCCTGAGGGATCTTCCAGCTTTGTGCTCACTCTCCAGAGGAGTGTTTGTGTCTCCTGAAAGAGATGGAAGCAGGTTTAGGAATTCACAGTGGGAGTTTAGGAGGCATTGGAAGCTGGGGGAACTGGATCTCACAATTCATGGAATTCAGAATGGTTTGGGTGGGAAGGGAGGACTTTAAAGCCCATCCAGTCCCATAGGCAGGGACACCTTCCACTGTCCCAATTTTCTCCAAGGCTCATCCAACCTGGCCTGGGATGCTGCCAGGATGGGGCAGCCACAGCTTCTCTGGGATTGTTTTCCAGTAGGGAAAGCCAGGCCAGCACAGAGGGGTGTGGGCGGGGCCCTGGGCACGTCTGTACCTGGTCCGTGTCGCCCTTGCCCCGCTTGCCCTCGGCTGGGACCCCGTCCGTGCGGATCACCTTGGGCTTCCTCTTCTTGCTGGACTCGGAGGACATGGTGCTGCCGGCAGGGCTGGGGAGGGAGCACGGGCCGAGTCCGTGGGGGCCAAACCTGCCCGGACCGGGGCTCTCCCGGGGTCCCCCCGCCAGCCCCGCCTGGGCTCTGCAGTGTGCCCTGTGCCTCCCTCCATCGTGCACCTCCCATCCCTTCCCAGCCCCCTCCAGCACGGCGGGCCCGGGGTCTGCTCCACCACAGCCCCCCAGCCCCCCCAGTGCCCCTGAGCTCCCTTGGGACCCCGGGCCCGAGCGCTCAGCCCCTCCCTGAGCCCCCAGACTGCGGCTTCTGCCTCACCAGAGCCCCCAGAGCCTTCACAGACCCGGGACCCTTCGCTCCTCCAGAGCATCCCAGAGCCCCGCACATCCATCACAGGGCGGACTCTCCTGCGAGCACCCCCAGACCCGGGACACTCCACCTCTCCAGAGCCCAGCACACCGAGCCCAGAGCCCGTCACTCCCTCAGAGCCGCCTCAGACCCTCACGCCGGGGTCTCTCCGCCCTCCTGAGCTCCCAGAGCCTCGCACACCGAGCCCAGAGCCCGTCACTCCCTCAGAGCCGCCCCTGACGCTCACACCGGGGACTTTCCGGCCATCCAGAGACCCCAGAACCTCGCACACGGGGCCCGAGCCCTCAAAACTCCCCCAGCACAGGGCCTTCGCCCCTCCAGACCAGGACCCTCCAGTTCCACCGAGCCCGTGGCACAGCGGGACACGGACCACCCGCCCCTCCTGAGCCCCAGGGCCGGGGTCGCTCCCCCATCCCCTGCCGGGGTCCCGGCTCACCCCGGCACTCACCGCGGCCTCGCCTCCGCGCCTCCGGAAGTGACGTCACGGAGCGCGGAGCACAGAGTGCGGCGCGGCGGCCGCTGCTCCAGGCGCCCCCTAGCGGCCGCGGCACCCTGGAGGACCCGCAGGGCGCTCCGGGGGCGTGGCTTCGTGTGGTAAAATGGGCGTGGCTTAACGAAGGGGCGTGGCCACATGTGAGACCTCCGCACTGGGGGCACCGGTGGGACTGGGAGGGTTCCTGGTGCAGAATGGCACCCACAGGAATAGGGGGAGCTTGGAGAGGGGGCCCAGAAGCACTGATGGGTGTCCATGGGCTGGGGATGTGGTCCCTGATGGCACTGGGGGTACCCATTGGTTGGGGGACATGGAATGGGGTCCCTGATGGCACTGGGGGTACCCACAGACCTGGGATGGGGTCCCCAGTGGCACTGGGGATACCCATTGGATGGGGGACATGGAATGGGGTCCCTGATGACACTGAGAGTACCCATTGTTTGGGGGACATGGAATGAGGTCCCTGATGGCACTGGGGGTACCCATGCGCCTGGGATGGGCTCCCCAGTGGGGTGGGGGGCACACAGGGGCTTGGGAGTGGCACAGGATGGAGTCATTGGTGGTAGTGGGAGGATCCATGGGCTTGGGGGAGTCTGGAGATGGGGTCCCCAATGGCACTGGGGGGATCCTTGGGCTCAGAATGACATGAGAAGAGGTCCCCAGTGGCACTGGGAGCATCCATAGGCTTGGAGGGTCATGGGATGGTGCCCACTTTAGCACTGGGGGGTTTCAGGGGCTTGGGATGAGGCCCCCAATGGCCCTGGGGTTATCCATGGGCTGGGCCTTGCCTTGGGGTGCCCAGTGGTGCTGGGGGATCCAGGAGCTTGGGGGGGGCGGTACTGGATGGGGTCTCTGTTGGTGCTGGATGTATCCATGAGCTTGAGGGGAGCATGGGATGGGGTCCCTGATGGCACCTGGGAGTATCCATGGGCTTGGCAAGGGGTCCCCAATGGCACTGGGGTTTTAGGGGGTCCCTCAGTGTATCCCAGCACCGATGGGTGGAGGTCCTTTGGTGCAGGAATCACCCACGACGTGGGGCAGGACAGCCCCTGAGTGACACCAGCTTGGAGGGGGGGGTCACACCAAGCACCCCCAGTCCTGCTCTCCCCACCCCAAGAGAGGCTTTAGCATATTAAATATTTAATTGGCAGCAAAGGCACCCGCTGGGCTCATCAGGAGCAATTAAGCCCCTCCCCACCTCTACAGCCCCCCCAGCAGCACCATCCTGGGGACCCCCACAGGATGGGGGGGCTCCCACCTCCCCCCCCCTGCTCTCAACCCCCCAAAACGGGCTGGGGGAGAGAGCTGGGAGCCGGGAGGAGCAGAACCCCCCCACCCTTCCCCAGCAGGGCCAGGACAGGGCCAGGGAGCCCCTGGGGGTGCAGGGAGACCCCCCTGGCCCAGCCTCCAATCACTGCAGGGGGGAGATCTTCAGGGGAATCATTATCCGGGATTCCATGGTCCGGATCAGCGGCACTGGGGGAGCAAAGGACACAGAGGTGAGGCCAGGGGGTCCCCAGCACCACCAGAGGCTCCCCAAAGCAGGTGGGGGGTCCCACTCACCGGTGTAATAAACGTTCTCATCCCAGCCCCTCTTCCTCCAGGCCGCATTCCTGGTCTCCTCCCGGGACTGCAGATCCCTGTAGGCTGTGGGGAGAGCAGGGGGGGCACCCTGAGCCCCCCAGCACAGCCCCCAGGCCAGGGGTCCCTCAGGGTGACCCCCCCTTACCCCAGAGGTGGTGCACCACGTAGAGCTCCCCGATCTGGGAGAAGAACCCCCCGACTGCCTCCTGGTTCTCCTGGCGGTACTTGATGGCCCGAGCCCTGCACGGAGCAGGGGACATGTGGGGGGCTGCCCCAGGGGTCCCCCCTTCTCCAGAGGGAACTTCTCCCACCTTGGGTCCCTCCATGCTGGGAAATCAGTGCCTTACCAGTTGTTGCCCCACTCGATCATGGTGCCTGGCTGGAAACGGGGGAGGAAAACCAGTCAGAACCTACCTGCTCACCCAGCCTGGGAGACCCCAGTGGCACTGGGGGTACCCATTGGTTGGGGGGCTTGGGATGGGGTCCCCAGTGGCTCTGGGGGTACTCATGGGCTTGGGATGGGGTCCCCAGTGGCTCTGGGGTACCCATGGGCTTGGGATGGGGTCCCTGATGGCACTGGGGGTACCCATGGGCTTGGGATGGGATCCCCAGTGGGGTGAGGGGCACACAGGGGATTGGGAGGGGCACAGGATGGAGTCATTGGTGGTAGTGGGAGGATCCATGGGCTTGGGGGAGTCTGGAGATGGGGTCCCCAATGGCACTGGGGGGATCCTTGGGCTCAGAATGGCATGAGAAGAGGTCCCCAGTGGCACTGGGAGCATCCATAGGCTTGGAGGGTCATGGGATGGTGCGCACTTTAGCACTGGGGGGTTTCAGGGGCTTGGGATGAGGCCCCCAATGGCCCTGGGGGTTATCCATGGGCTGGGCTGGGCCTTGCCTTGGGGTGCCCAGTGGTGCTGGGGGATCCAGGAGCTTGGTGGGGGGGCACTGGATGGGGTCTCTGTTGGTGCTGGATGTATCCATGAGCTTGAGGGGAGCATGGGATGGGGTCTCTTTGGGGGGCTGCCCCCCAAAACTGGAGTACACCAGCCTGAAGACCCCTCCTGAGGCACAGGCTGATCCCCACCTTCAGCTTGTAGGTCCTGAGCTCGTAGATGTTTGGTCCCTGGCGGGGCTGGGGCTCATTCCAGAAGCTGAACTCCAAGAGCAGTTGGTTCCTGCGGGACAGCAGCATCCGGCTCCTCTCCTTGCGGAACTCCAGGTACTCCTGGGGACAGCCCCAGCCGGGGGTTTGGGGTGACAGGGGTGACAGGGACCAGGGCTGTGGGGCACAGGGGGGGTCCCCACCCCAGCATTACCTTGTTCTGCCTGAGCTTGTTCATGCAGTCCATGAGCGCTGGGTACCCGCCCGAGAAGCGCCACAGGTGCACTGCAAAGAGGGGAGGGGGTGGGCAAGGGGGTTCTGGTCCCTCTGAGTGCCCCTGAGTCCCACTGAGTCCCTCTGAGTGCCACTGAGTCCCTCTGAGTGCCATTGAGGGAATCCCAGCCAGCCCCAATATGGTGAACAGTGAGGGGGGGGCACTCTCCTGTGCCCTGGGCTGATCCCTGGGGGTACAGAAGGACAGAAGGACAGCCAGGCTGATCCCTGGGAGTACAGAAGGACAGAGGGCAGCCAGGCTGATCCCTGGGGGTACCAAAGACAGCTAGGCTGATCCCCATCCCCAGAGGTACAGAAGGACAGAAGGACAGCCAGGCTGATCCCTGGGGTACAGAAGGACAGCCAGGCTGATCCCTGGGGTACAGAAGGACAGAAGGACAGCCAGGCTGATCGCCTGCAGCAGAGGAGATGCTGGAACAACGGTGGAAGATGAAGGGGTGGACTCTCAGCATTGGTTAATCCAAGGTTTATTTCAGGAGCTCTGGGGAGCCCCACAAACCTCAGGGGATTCCTGCTGAAAGCCCCGGGAGAGGTGCCAAGGTTGCATTTAAAGGGAGGTGGAAACCTAAAGTAGAGAACATTTACTGACCATGAGTGACCCTGAGGGATGGGTACTGAGAATGGACATTTAGGACAGGATCTGGGGTAACACTTGTGGGGCTGACCCCTGGCCTCTGGCTGATCACTCAATGTCCTGGGCCGAAAGTTCTGGATGGAGGGGATGGGATGGGGAGTGACTGACAGAGAGCCAGGGTGGGGATTTGGGGGTGATCTCAGCAAAGGAAAGGGATTGCACAGGTACAGGGAGGGGGGTACAATCTGGGGTAAAGCATTTGGGAAAAATACGGGGATATAAAAACACAACTGTTACAAAGTATTACAAAGTATAAAACCACACTACAACAGAAGGGGAGCAGCGCCCCAAAATCCCACCAAGATCTGTGCCTGTGGCAGCAGGAGCTGCCTGGCCTCACCTGCCTGGTCCTGCTCGCCGTACCACGTGTTCCAGTTGCCCACCAGGTCACAGGGGTAGTCGGGGTCCGAATGGAGCTTGGGCAGCACCTCCTCTCTGTGGGGGCACAGAGGGGCACAGTGGGGTGGGGGGCAGCAGGGCAAACCCCCCCAGTGCCCCTCTTTGCCCTCCCAAACAGGATCTGGCACAGCCTGGGGGGGGATGCATCCATTGCACAGGGAGGGAAACTGAGGCACAGAACAGGGGACACAGATCCACCCAGGAGCTCCAGGAGCCCTCCCACCCCTGCCAGTCCAGAACAGCACCCCAAACCCCCGCTGGGAGGCTGGGAAGAGCCCTCAGTGTGCTCACGTCAGCTTGTTGTAGGCTTCCAGGCACTCCGGCTTCACATTGTGAACTGCAGGGACAGGAGAAAGGGGCTGGGAACGGGGGAGGGATCTGGGAATGGGGTCCCAGGACTGGGTGAGGGGTGCACCCAGCTGTGCCTGCCTTCCTCCAGGCAGCAGCACTCACACTGGATCTTGTAGAGGTTGCTGGTCTCCTTCTTGGAGAGGAGGTTGGAATGTGCATCCTTGCGGGGATCCACCTTGTGCACGAACAGGGAGCGGAACCAGCTGCCCTCCACATCCCTGGAGTACCCCCTGCAGCGGGGACAGCGGGGCAGGGAGACACCGGGATTGGCCAGGAATCACCGGGAATGGCCGGGAATCACCGGGAATGGCCGGGAATCACCGGGAATGGCCGGCAAAGCAGGAGCCCGAGGCCTCACTGCCAGTCCTGTGGGCAGCTGCCCCTGTTGTTCAGCCTCCAGGGAGCCCCGGGACTCCACGGGCTCCTGCTCAGTTCGTACGGGGAGCCCTGTCCCAGGTCTGGGCTGGGTCTGTCCCCAGTTCCAGTCTGTCCCCTGCATCCAGAGGGGTTGGCCATGCTGCCCAGCAGAGCAAGGACGCTGCTGTGGGGGTGTGGGATAAGGGGGGCACCTCCATGGGAGCCCCACTGGCCACTGCAGTGACAGTGACCCCTCCACGGGCAAGGGGACATGGGGACACCCCCCATGGGATCCCCTGTACCCAGGGGCTGCTCCAGAGCTGGTGACCCCTCCACGGGCAAGGGGACAAGGGGACGTGGGGCGATGGGAGCAGCCCCCAGCCTGTCCCCCGGGGCTCCCCAGCAGCCCCAGCGATGGCTCCGGTGCCCGGAGAAGGTCGGGCACTGGCGGGGGGGGGGACGGGGCCCCTCGGCCCTGGGTCCGAGCTGCGGCCAGACCTTTGTCCCCAGCGAGGCAACGACCGTGGGGCCACTCCGGGGGCCGCCCGCCGGCTCGGGGAGGGCAGCGGGGTCCGGGGAGGGCTCAGGGGGCTCGGGGGGGGTGCGGGGTCCCCGCCCGGGGGGATGCGGGGAGCGGGGGGGATGCGGGGTTCAGGGGGGGATCAGGAAGCCCAGGGGAGCGGGGTGCGGGGCTCCCCTCCCGGGGCGATGCGGGGCCAGGGGTGGGGCTCAGGGGTCTCGGAAGGGGGGATACGGGTGTCCCCGCCCGGGAGGATGCGGGGTCCGGGGGGAATGGGAGGGCTTAGGGGAAGAGGGATGCGATGCGAATGATGCGAAGAGCGGGGAAGATCTGGGCCGCAAGGGCTCAGAGGTGGGGTCTCCACCCGGGGGCATGCGGCGGGGGACAGGAGGGATGCGGGGTCCGGGGGAGCTGCAGGGTGCGGGGGGGAGGATGCGGGGGCGTCCCCGCCGGGGGAGATGCGGGGAGGGGGATGGAAGGATGAGGGACCCGGGGATGCCGCGGGGGCTCTCAGGGCGGGGGTTCCAGGGGTCCCCGCCCGGGGGGGGGTCCCCACTCACCGCGCGCCCCGCGGGGCCGCGCCCGCGCCCCCGCCCCGCAGCCGCCGCAGCGCCGCGCTCCCGCCGCGCGCTCCCGCCGCCATCTTCCGCACCGCGGCGGGGCCGCGCGCCGCGCGTGCACACCGGGCCCCGCCCCCTCGGCCCGGCCACGCCCCCTCAGAAGCTGGCCTGCAGCAGCGTGATCCTGATTGGCCGCCCGGCCACACCTTCGCGCGCCCGGCCACGCCCCCCCGGCCCCTCCCGCCGCCGCTGCGACGCCTCATTGGATGCCGGAGCGGGGACGGTGCCCGCAGACTCGGCGGCGCTCGGCAGCCAATCAGAAGAGGCGGTTGGAGAGGCCGGTGGCTGATTGGTCCCGATGTCTCGCTCCGGCGGGGGCGCGGGCGCCTCTCCAAGGGGGCGGGGCTTCCTCGCGCTCCTCTCTGGGGAGGCGGGGCCAGAATGAGCGGGGCCGCTCGACCAATGGGTGTGGCCGGGGCGTGGCCGGGGGTGTGGCCGGGTCTCACCTGCGGGCGCGTTCTCGGGGCGTCCCCGCGGTCCCCCCGGCGTGTCCCCGGCCCTGGGGGGACATCCCCGCGCCGAGGGCTCCTCCTGGGCTTGGGGCACCTGCGGGAGGGCACAGGGAGCGCTGCTCCTGCCCCAGAGCCCCTCTGCCCCCAGCCCCGCCCTGCCCCATTGCCCCTTCTCTCTGCCCCCCATCCCCCGCCAGGCCGATAGCCCCTCCTCTGCCCCACAGCCCCCCCATTTTGCCCCATAACCCCGTCCCACCTCTCAGTCCCCCCGCTCTGTCCCATAACCCCCCCTCCCCACACGGATCTGCACCACAACCACCCCAGAACTTGCTCCCCTCATATTTCCCCCCATTTCGATTCTCCCCCAGCCCAGACCTCACCTCGCTGTGGGGCAGTGGAGGGACTGGGGGGCAGCACGGAGGGGACACGGGTGGGCCTCCGAGCTCTTCCCCCGGGGCGTGCGTGGGCAATGGGGGTGAGGGAGAACCCGCACCCCGCGGTTCCTGCGGCGCCTGCTGGGAGAGGGAGCGGGCCGAGCTGGGAAAGGGGGGAGAAACAGGAGTTAAAGGGTTAACTGCCCCCAAAACCCCGCCAAACGCTCTGTGACCCCCACAAACCCTCCCGAGATTCCTCAAACCCTCAAATTCTCCAACCTTCTCCTGCCGCCTGGGACCCCCCAAACCTCTCCAAACCCAGCCCTTCTCTGTGCCCCCCCATGGACCCAGGGCCCCCGGTGTCCCCCCGTGCCCCACTCACCTGGGCAGGGCAAATGCCCCCCGGTGCCTCCGGTGTCCCCTGTGCCCCACTCACTCAGGCAAGGCCGGTGCCTCCTGGTGCTCCCCGTGCCCCCCGGTGCCCCCCATGCCCCACTTCCCCGGGCAGGGCCGATCCTGCCCCCGGCCCCCGTGCCTCCCACGTCCCCCGTGCCCCAATCCCGTGGGCAGAGCTAATACCCCCCGTGCCCCCCGGTGCCCCCGTGTCCCGCTTCCCCGTGTGGGGCCAATACCTCTCAGTGCCCCCCGTGCTCCCAGTGCCCCCCGTGCCCCACTCACCCGGGCAGGGCCGATGCCCCCCGGCGCAGGGCACAGACCCAGGCGTGCAGCTCCTCGGCGCTCTCGGTCCCCAGGCAGTACGTTCGCATCCCGGCATGTTCAGCCTGGCAATGGGGGAATCCTTGCTAGACCGGGCTCAGCTGTCGGGGTCCCGTTCTCACCCCCGATTCGGGGTCCCGGGGAGCCGGCGCTGACCGTGAAGAGGAACTGGGGGGCGCGGGGGGCGCGGGGGGCGGCGGGCAGGATGCGGATCTCGTAGCCCGGCAGGGGGAGGCCGCCCCGCACCTGCTGCTCGCTGCTGTCTGGGGGCACAGGAAGGTCACAATGGGGGGCACCAGAGCCCCCATCTGCACCCCGAGACCTCCAGCACCATCAGGGGGATGCCGGGGACCTCCTCTGATGCCCCCAAACCTCCCGGGGTTAGACCAGACCTTAGAACCCCACCAAGGACCTCTTCAAGCCCCCAGGGAGCCCCGATCCTGGGGAATCCCTGATCCATCCAAAGGCCCCCAATCCCCAGGAATTCCCAATGCTCCAAAGACCCCCAATCCCCGGGGGATCCCTGACTCCCCCAGAGACCCCCAAATACCCCAGGGATCCTTGATCCCACTGGGTTCCCTGACTGCCCCAGGGACCTCCAACACCCCAGGGACCCCCAATCCCCCAGGATTCCTGGTCCTCCAAGGAATGCCCAACACCCCAGGGACCCTTGAGCCCCCCAACGACCAAGGAACACCCCGGGATCGCTGCCTCCCAGGCTCACCAGGTCACCCAAGCCCCCCGGGTGTCCCAGCCCCCTGTGCCACTCACCCCGGTAGTAGTAGAGGCAGAGATCCACCAGCACAAACCAGCGGCGCTTCCAGAGCCGCAGCCCCGAGCTGTCCTGAGAAGGGATGGAGGAGGGGAACGGGGGCTGAGCCCCTGCAGCCCATCCCCCTGGGACCCTCTGCTGCCCAAGACACCTCAACCCCTTCGGATCTCCCCATTCTCCTCACTCCCCCAGGCCCACAAACCCCATAACCCCCGGCATCCTCTTCCCTCCCACACCCCATAACTGCCCCACACTGCCCGGTCTGACCGTGTGTCTCTGATCTCCCTAAAGCCCCCGAACCCCACAATCCCTGGCACCCTCTTCCATCCCAGACCCCATAACAGCCCCACACTGCCCAATCTGATCGTGTGTCTCTGATTTCCCTAAAGCCCCCAAACCCCATAACCCTCCCTCACCACCCTCTGACCCCCCCCCAACTCCCTCTGATTCCTCCCCAACCCCACATCCACCCCCATGGCCCCCCTGACACACCAGACCCACCCTCCCCACCGCCCCCGGTCCCCCCAAAAACCCACAAACCCCCCAGAATCCCGCACCTCAACCCCCACACAGCCCCTGAGCCCCCTCCCCACGCCCCCCTCCTCACCTGCTTGTGCAGCCAGCCCTGCATGGCGGGGGGGGTGCGGGGGTCCCTCCGCAGCGCCTGCTCCCCCTTCCCAAAGGCGTGGACCCTCGGCACGGGCCGGCAGGGCTGGGCAGGGCAGGGGGGTCACCCATGGCGGGGGGCCGAGGAAGGGCCCCCCAACACCCCCACGGCCCCCCAGCCCTCCCACCCCAATTTATCTTTCTAGCCCACAAAGCCCCCTCAGCTGCCCAGAGCTCCCCCTTTGTGCCCCACAAGTCCCTATGGATTCCTGGGCTCCCCCGTGCACCCCAATGCTCCACATGCCCCTCTGAGTGCCCATGGTTCCCCAAAATCTTCCCCCTAAGCCCCCACACCCCACCGTGGTTCCCCAGTTCCCCCTCGTGCCCCCAGCCCCTTCGCCCACCTGGGTGCGGAGCCCAGCGGGAGCGGGGTCCTGGCGGGTGGGGCCGTCGCTTTCTGCCATGGGGGGTCCTGTGGAGGCAGCGGGGGGCCGGGGGGGTCCCCATCAATGTCCCCATTGTCCCCGCGGGGACAGAGGCCCCGTTCTTCCCGCTGCGGGGGCGGGGGCTCCTCCCGGACGCCTGGGTCCCCCCGGGGGTGTCGGGGGGGATTCTCGGCTCCCGCTGCTCCCTTCCCCCTCCTGCTCCTGCTGGATTTAGGTCCGCTCCGTCCCCCTGTGCTGGTCCCGGTTTCTGTCCAAATAACCCTGAACTGGTCCCAGTTCCATCCCAGTAACCCTGAACTGGTCCCAGTTCCCATCCCAGTAACCCTGAAGTGATCCCAGTCCCTCCCGTGCC